CCCCAAAGACACAGATGTAGTGTAAAGAAGGGCCATATGCACCCCAATGTTTATAGCAGTAATGTCCACAATAGCCAAACTGTGGAAAGAGCCGAGATGCCCTTCAACAGATGAATGGATAAAGAAGATGTGGTCCATATATACAATGGAATATTACTCAGCCATCAGAAAAGATGAATACCCAACTTTTACATCAACATGGATGGAACTGGAAGAGATTATGCTAAGTGAAATAAGTCAAGCAGAGAAAGTCAATTATCATATGGTTTCACTTATTTGTGGAACATAAGGAATAACATGGAGGACATTAAGAGAAGGAAGGGAAAAATGGGCGGGGGGAATTGGAGGGAGAGATGAACCATAAGAGACTATGGACCTGAGAAACAAACAGGGTTTTAGAGGGAAGGGGGGAGGGGGGATCGGTTAGCCCGGTGATGGGTATTAAGGAGGGCACGTACTGCATGAAGCACTGGGTGTTATACGAAAACAATGGATCGTGGGTCACTACATCAAAAACTAATGATGTAGTGTATGGTGACATAACATAATAAAATTTAAAAAAAATGACAGGAAAAAAAAAAAAGAATGACTTAAATGTGAACCTATAATCCCCTTGACTCTATTACCACAGTTTCATATGGAAGGAACTAAGTTTCATTTGAGACTCCATGAGTACCTAGTGTATGGAGAAAAAAAAGGCCCTATGGGAAGTTGCAGAAAACTACAATAATAGTAAAAAACAACTATTTTTGAGTTCCTCACCCTTCATTGGCATTTTGCAAACATAATTTCTAATCCTCACAATAATGCTACAAGATAGTATTGCAGTTTTGCAGATTAGGAAACTGAGGCTCTTAAGGTTACATAGCCAACCCAAGGACGAGCATCTAGAAAGACTGGAAGTGGAATTCTTACTTAAATTATATGTTCCTTTTTGCTATACTGCCACTATTTTAGAAGAAAGAGCAAAACAACAAAAACTGACCTCTCTTTTTAAGGGTCTTAGAATCTATAGAAAACCAAGGTTGAGCACTTAGGGGCAAGAAAGAAAAGAAAGAAAAATAACCTTAAGTATAACAAAACATTAAGGGTAACATTTGTCTATATAAATCAGTATTACATTTCCATTCTTTCATAAAACTATAAAAATAATTTCAATATGCGTGCTTTTTCTTAGAGTGCATTATTTCATTTTTTAAAGATATTTTCTGAATTTTCCCCTTTTGATGTCTAGGAAATGCAATACTTCTTCTGACCTTAATTTTCTTTTTGACTCATAGAGTTAACTTGGAATTAGTTGGTAGATATAGGCATCACACAAGTGACTGGGGCTAACTGTAACTCCTACCATGTATATTAAAAGAATCATCAGAAAGTTGTATGATCACAGAGTCAAAATTTACAAAATGGTCCAATGGTAAACTTTGGGCTTTGTACATAAAGGTATGCAGTAACTTTTCATTTATTAAAAACAATGAATTCTGAGAGACGGTATGGCATGGGATAAATGGGAGGCTAATATAGTTATTTTTAGATCATTTTAAAAATAGATGGAAAGATTTCATTCCTTTTGATGGCTGCATAATATTCCATTGTATATATATTTGCAATGATGTAGATGGAACTGGAGGGTATTATGCTCAGCGAAATAAGTCAATCAAAGAAAGACATTTATCATATGATCTCACTGATATGAGGAATTCTTAATCTCAGGAAACAAACTGAGGGTTGTTGGAGTGGTGGGGGGTGGGAGAGATGGGGTGGCTGGGTGATAGACATTGGGGAGGGTATGTGCTATGGTGAGTGCTGTGAATTGTGTAAGACTGTTGAATCACAGACTTGTACCTCTGAAACAAATAATACATTATATGTTAAAAAAAAAAAAAAAAGAAGAAGATAGCAGGAGGGGAAGAATGAAGGGTGGGAAATTGGAGGGGGAGACGAACCATGAGAGACTATGGACTCTGAAAAACAAACTGAGGGTTCTAGAGAGGAGGGGTTGGGGGAATGGGTTAGTCTGGTGATGGGTATTAAAGAGGGCACGTTCTGCATGGAGCACTGGGTGTTATACGCAAACAGTGAATCATGGAACACTAAACAAAAAAAAAAAAAATAGATGGACAAAATCGCTAAATCAGATATATTCACAGCTATAGGAGCGATCATGTTCTCAGCAATACTACATTAGGTTGGTTTTGTTTCCTCTTGACCAGATCATAAATGAGGGTCAAATAGGAGCTTAGAGATGAATTGAGAAACAATATTTGCAACGTTTAGGGAAGAAGAGTTTTATACACAGAAACATCATAAAATGAGTCCTAAGGAGAGACGTCAGTAAAAAAAAAAAAAAAAAAAAAAAATCTAATTTAAGTTTTCCCATCAGATGTAGAGCTGACATAGTAGGCCAGCTAGGAGATTTACATTCAATTAGTTGAAGCAATAGTGGAGGTAGGTAAACGGGCTGAAGAAATCTTCAGAATTCAAGATATAGAACTACCAGTTATATATGTTCATAGACAAAAATAAGAGATGTGGGATATATTAATCTTCTATATTTCATCTAATGCCCAGAAAGAAAAAAAAAAAAAACTAACTTGGCATAAAACAGACTTCTACATTACTTCAGTGTAAATCTTCTGTATGCACTTGATTAATGTACCTTTGTACAATTTCCTGACTACTTCACTATTAATATTTCTGTAATTTTAGTAAGTAGAGCAGCCTAGTCTTCATTTCCTAATCTAAATTCACTTTTTATTTACTTCCACTACTGAAAAGAGTTTGAAATAAAAGGTTAAAATAGGAAGAAGTGGGTAGGAAGACAGATTTGGGAAGATTGGAATGAGGAAGTAGAAAGATCTGAAAAAGTTCAGAAAAAAATGGGCTGGTTGACAGAATGAAAGTTGATGCATGTTTGTAGATATTCCAGTTTTAACAGGATCATCCAGAGATACTTAGTGTAGAAAAGATATTCTTCTAAGTGGTGTTATTTGACCTTTCAGTAGTAAATGTAGTCAATAGAGCAATTGATCTGTAAATCAGCATTCAGCCAAATCCATCTTATCAGTGAAAGATGGAGGTATTAAAGATAAAGGATAATGAGTATCTGTATATACACAAGTTTTTATTGTGAAAATCTAAACTCTTGAGACATAAATACTTACAATGCAATATTCATCAGAAAATATCTAAAACTACAGAAAAGAAATAAACACTGTCTTCACTAAGCTAATATACATAGAAAAACTTTCAGAAGCAGCCATAGATACAATATACTTTCCTTAAATTTTGACTTGGTATGATCTCATACCATAGCATTATAATTGGTCAGTGGATACAGTTCAGATGTAAACATATTTTCATCATAACTAATGAATTATATTTTCTCCACAAGTTGCCCAGTAGAGTAACAACTGAGAAGTGTTTTTCGCTTATTCCAATGGTTGGCTCTATGCATTTGTGATGAAATTCTGTAAATCTGCCAAAAGCAGTCTTAAGTACACTATATGTGTGAATAATAAATCTTTACTTCCTACCTTGGTTATTAGTCAGAAACTTCCTTGTGCAAAATCAACTTTTACTAAAAAATAGCAGCAGCTATCTGAATGGTAAAAAAGCATTGCTCACAGAACTGACAATTTATTATGTACTAAAGGAGCTAGAAAAATAAGAACAAATGAAACATAAGCCAGCAGAAGGGAGGAAATAATGAAGATTGCAGCAGAAATAAATGATATAGAAACTAAGAAAAAATAGAACAGATCAGTGAAACCAGGAGCTAGTTGTTTCAAAAAATAAAAAAATAAAATTGATAAACGTCTGGCCAGACTTATCAAAAAGAAAAGAGAAAGACCCCAAATAAATAAAATAAAAAATGAGAGAGGACAAATAACCAACACCACAGAAATACAAACAATTATAAGAGAATATTATGAAAAATTATATACCAACAAATTGGACAACATAGAAGAAATGGATAAATTTCTAGAAACATATAAACTACCAAAATAGAAAACTTGAATAGACCGATAACCAGCAAAGAAATTAAATCAGTAATCAGAAGTCTCTCAGTAAACAGAAGTCCAGGGCTTCATGGCTTCATAGGGTAATTCTGCCAAACATTTAAAGAAGATTTGGTACCTATTCTTCTCAAACTATTCCAAAAAATAGAAAAGGAAGGAAAACTTTCTAATTCATTGTATGAGACCAGCATTACCCTGATACCAAAACCAGGTAAAGACTCCACTAAAAAAGAAAACTGCAGGCCAATATTACTGATGAACATGGATGCAAAAATTATCAATTTATTACGAAGTAGTGGCAATTTACTATGGCAGTAGTGACAGTATACTATGGTAGCAAAATTAACATTTTACTAGTTGAGTAGAAAGTGAACTTTTATTAACACATAAAGTAGGTAATATCTCAGAACTAAATTCTTAAATATAATAAATAATTATAAATAATCTTAATCTATTTTTAATTATAATCCTTCATTTTACTGTCATGGAAAATTGTATGAATCAACACCAAAGGCCCTTTTAAAAGGAATTTTCATTCCTGTTTCTTTAGTCACTTGTATTTTAAATCAACACACACACAACTGAATAAAATAAAAGGACATAAATTCATATACTGAATGACCGTAGGTAATTAAAATAATGATGGATGTGTAAAGAGTTGGTAATAGATTCAAATTACCATGTTGACACCTGTGTTAGTACTACTAGTAGCATAGTATAGCCAAAGAAACCGTTACAAGTATACAAACCATATACGTTAAATGAACTGTTTTATTCTGACTCTTCCATTTGTCTCCGACGGCGGCAAAATATTACCTTTGCCTTGTCAACCAGGTTAGAGAATCGTTGGGTACTTTAATTTGAGTTGCAATCACTGATTCTATGCTATAAATTATAGGTACATAAATATAATGTGAATGATGCCAACTAAAATTTTTATACAAGCAATGTTTCCATTTTTTAATATCCCTTTAAAAGGTACCACTACAATCGAAAAATACGATCTCAGAACCAACAGCTGGCTACATATTGGCACCATGAGTGGCCGTAGGCTTCAGTTTGGAGTTGCAGTTATTGATAATAAGCTCTATGTCGTGGGAGGAAGAGATGGTTTAAAAACTTTGAATACTGTGGAATGTTTTAATCCAGTTGGCGAAATCTGGACTGTGATGCCTCCCATGTCAACACATAGGCATGGCTTAGGTAAGAGCTTCATGTTACATAGTTTCTAAAGAATGCATCATTAGTAGATCTTTTTAAAAAATTAATACAGCTGTACATTATTGAGATTTTATTTTATTTTAATTCCAGTATAATTAACATACAGTATTATATAAGTTTCAGGTGTACCATATAGTGATTCCACAATTCCATACATCATCCAGTGCTCATCATGAATGCACATTATTGGGATTTAGCCAAACCCTTAGTCAAAATGTCTCCAAAATGTTGAAAAGCTGAATCAAATGGTAAAAACTTGTGAAACACTTTTTTCTTGTTTCAGATGTCATACTTGTTAATCCTGCCTCCCTTCAAATGTATTTTAAAACGGTACCACTTTAGGAAGAATAAAAAGTTCTGAAAGGAATACATCATTGAGGAACATAAAACTACAATAGGGAGTTTTCTTCTAAACTAAATTTAGAAAAAAAAAAAGGCACTTGATGATGGAAAGACATTGTGTTTCTAATTTGATGAACTTTGTCCCTTCCCATAAGAGGCAAATCTGTATTTCAGCAAAAGGCTTGGGATGCAGGGCCAAAGCAAGGATATTTAGAAAAAACTGCTTTGATTGAGAGCAACTCTAAGTTATACTTAAGCTAGAGACTCCCAAGAAGTTTAAGAAAGATGAAGTGGAGACTTCTGAAACAGCTGGGAACTTTGATTCTCCTGAATATTTGTCAGGGTAAATCTTTCTTCATGGTAGACTCCATAAATTTTCAATATCTTAGAGTTTGTTTAAAAAGCATAATAATTGCCTTATTTTTTTAAGAACTGACTTACACATCTAAAAAGTGGCAGGTATTGTCTTTTTTCCCACATTATCTTAAAAAGTGTCCATGTCAAATGATAAACTATATAATTTTTCAGCTCAGTTGTGTCAGTGTGATTCCTAGACATTGCTTAGAAAACATATCTCACAGAGAAATCATAGCAAGTTTTTAAAATCTAATTGATATTACTAAGAAGGTAGAAGTGATGAAGTTATACCACTGAGATGCTAATTGAGATGGTGAAGAAGGTGGTGGGAAAAGGCTAATTATGTGAATTCCCAGAGAAGCAGTTAGATAGGGGCAATTCATAGTATGTAATGGAACAAATTTCTAACTAAACCTCAAAAATCCCTGTTTATTTGGTTATCTCATATGAATTTTTTATCACTATAATAAAAAGCACGGGTTAAAAAGACCTACTACAGCTAACCTATGAATAAACTATGAATAAACTAAGATTCAGTATAGATGTCTCATCTATCCCTTACATATAAAAAATGGTGTTGAAATTATGCCAGAAAAAATAGTTTGCATTTTCTATTACATCCCTAGAAATGGTGTGTTCCACTACTTCCATTAACTTCAGTATTACAACAATGACACCCTGCCATTATACAATAACTATGCCTGAAAATTTCCTAGGGTTGAGAGACCATGTTTAATTTCATATCAAGATTAGTAAATTATAATGTATACACAAAACCATTTAAGAAACAAAAACAATTTTTTAAACAGCCAGTTGCTTGCAAAATGAAAAAAAAAATTCATTATGTGTGGTATACCTAGGTGAGATCTCATGTTATTTTTATCTCTTAGGTGTAACCACACTCGAAGGACCAATGTATGCTGTCGGTGGTCATGATGGATGGAGTTATCTAAATACCGTAGAAAGATGGGACCCTGAGGGACGTCAATGGAATTATGTGGCCAGTATGTCAACTCCTAGAAGCACAGTTGGTGTTGTTGCATTAAACAATAAGTGAGTAAACCCAAATATGAATGCTCTTTAGTCCCAGGTCATGTGGTACAAACTTCAGTGATGTGATCCATCAATCAATAAGCATTCTCAATGACCAGGACATCGTAGTAATCAGTAATATAAGTCCTTTGTTGGAACTTTCCCTTCATTACATGGAAAATGCTTGTCTAAAATGAACATTTAATTAAATATTCTGTCTTGCCTTGCTATTCAAGCATAGTCCTGGGACCAGCAGCATCAGCATTACCTTAGATCTATTTAGAAATGCTGATGGGGTGCCTGGGTGGCTCAGATGGTTAAGCATCTGCCTTCGGCTCAGGTCATGATCCCATGGTCCTGGGATCAAGCCCCGCATCAGGCTCCCTGCTCTGCAGGAAGCCTGCTTCTCCCTCTCCTGCTCTCCCTGCTTGTGTTCTCTCTCTGGCTGTCTCTCTCTCTGTCAAATAAATAAAATCTTAAAAAAAAAAAAAGAAATGCTGAATTTTAGCCCCACCCTAGACTTCCTGAATCAGAATTGGCATTTAAAAAATATCCTCGGGGCGCCTGGGTGGTTCAGTTGGTTAAGCGACTGCCTTCGGCTCAGGTCATGATCCCGGAGTCCCTGGATTGAGTCCCACATCGGGCTCCCTGCTCAGCGGGGAGTCTGCTTCTCCCTCTGACCCTCCCCCCTCTCATGTGCTCTCTCTCTCTCTCTCATTCTGTCTCAAATAAATAAATAAAATCTTTTTAAAAAAATATCCTCAAGTGACTTGTGAGCAAGTTAAATTTGAGAAGCACTTTTATAGGCAAAGAAGTTCCAATTTTGCCTTCAAGAAGTTACCATTTTTTGCATCATGACTTATTCTTATTAAAACTGGTTAGTTTTATAATAGGGCAAGTCTTTGTGTTCTTTATCATTCACTGTCCTGAGTGTTCAGGGTTCCCAACTTTATAATTACACCGAGTCTTATCTTTCTGAATCTTTCCCCCTTCCTGATCACTTGCCTATGACAGCAAGGTAATATATTAAAACCCAATGACATTAAAGGTTGCTAAGATCTTTGAATCGTTACTTCTTCAGGGCAATTATGCCATTTCTAACAAGAGGCCTTTAGAAACAATGACCAGCATATAGGAGAGACTTTAATGATCACAATTTCAGACACCAGAACTGATCAGTGGCAGGAGACAGCCTTGTGTGTCTGTACTGACTGTATATAAAATCAACATTTCATCATACAACTGGGAAATTTCAGCAAAGATGGTTTATATCACCTTGTGCATGAAGTAGTAAATGTCTATTAAGAGGATACCTAGTCTTACAGTGTCTTAGAGCTTAAAATACTCCTAAATCTGATTATCTTTGGCTTGATCTCAATATCAGGTGACTTGGGAAGTGTCTCCAACCTATTACAGAACAGACTGAAATCATCAAATTTGACTAATTTAATTATGTTTTACTGACATGCTATTATTCACAACTGAGCATGAAGGGCAGTTATAAACATATGGTTTAGTAAATGTTTATGTTTTTTATTGATGCAGAATTAATTTAAATTAGATTAAAAATACTGCTCATCATAAGAATTGGCATTCTAAAATTTATGGAAGAAATGGGATAGCTAATATATCTTCTTAGGAAAAAATCCAGTTTGTTGATTCTATCTTATTCCCTTAGTCGTTTATTAAGTTAGTCTTCTTAATGACAAATGTTTTTTTAATATATTTTATTTTATTTTATTGTTATGTTAATCACCATACATTGCATCATTAGTTTTTGATGTAGTGTTCCATGATTCATTGTTTGCGTATAACACCCAGTGTTCCATGCAGAACATGCCCTCTCTAATACCCATCACCAGGCTAACCCATCCCCCCACACCCTCCCCTCTAGAACCCTCAGTTTGTTTCTCAAAGTCTATAGTCTCTCATGGTTCATCTCCCCCTCCAATTCCCCCCCTTCATTTTTCCCTTCCTGTTATCTTCTTTTTTTTAACATATAATATATTATTTGTTTCAGAGATACAGATCTGTGATTCAACAGTTTTGCACAATTCACAGCGCTCACCATAGCACATACCCTCCCCAATGTCTATCGCCCAGCCACCCCATCTCTCCCACCCCCCACCACTCCAACAACCCTCAGTTTGTTTCCTGAGATTAAGAATTCCTCATATCAGTGAGATCATATGATACATGTCTTTCTCTGATTGACTTATTTCATGACAAATGTTTTTAATACTAAGTAAAACAGTTCATAAAGATAAAAGGGATTTTAATGCTATGCAGTTGAACCTAGCCAAAATCATAAGGTTGCTGGAGTAAGTCTTTGGAAACATCCTACCTACCCATTTTATATTTTAATTTCCAGGTTTATTGAGGCATTGACAAATACTGCCAATGCTTTTGATATCTCCTTTCTCTCTCTGTCTTCATTTCTCATGGAATGTTTTAGTCCATTGTGTCAAACTTTCACAAAAATGATGAAGCATGGGAGGTTTGGAGTAGATTAGACCTTGAAAAATGCCTTTAGGTAACTATCCATTCACAAACTCAGGGCATCCACTACAAAATACTAAGGGAGCAGAACATATAGTCATAAACTTGAGTGCTTTGTACAAGGTGTTTTTACATTTATTCGATGCACAAATTGAAAGTGTTTTATACACACACACGCACACACACACACACACACTTCTGCTCTTTTTTCCTAGACTATATGCTATTGGTGGTCGTGATGGAAGTTCCTGCCTCAAATCAATGGAATACTTTGACCCACACACTAACAAGTGGAGTCTGTGTGCTTCAATGTCCAAAAGACGTGGAGGTGTGGGAGTTGCAGCATACAATGGATTCTTATATGTTGCTGGGGGTCATGATGCCCCTGCTTCTAGCCATTGCTCCAGGCTTTCCGGCTGTGTGGAACGGTAAAATATTTCTATTTATTTATGTATGTATTTTTTTTTTTCAGAAATGAGAAAGATTTTTAGGCTACTAGAAAGTTGTCTCCCAAATAAGTGTTAATCTTTTCAGAGGATTAGGTTTTTTTTTTGTAAAATTGCACACTTACTCCTAGGCTCAAAATATTTTGAAGAAATTCTTCTAATGTATTTTAGGTGTATCATAAGAAATATATTTTTTAAATATTCTTTTATTGTTTGAAAATCACCATATAAAGTAATGAAATAAAAGGGATGCAAGAATAAAGAAATTTAATGCCAAACTATATCACTCAAACTATTCACCATCTCAAATCAATATGACTTTACTATTTCAAAAACTATATTAGTCCCCAAAGGATGAAAGCTCTACAGAAAGAATTCCCAAAAAGAGATGCTAATTATATTTTGAACAATAACACTATTTTATTAAGTATTTGATTTTCTAAAGGTAACTTCTTTAAATGGGAGACATTTGTTTGGATAAGGTGTGATAGGCTTGTTCAGTAACTCATTCATATGATTTGTAGTTATAACATTCACATTCTCTTCAAGAGTGTATATAATATATATATATATATGTTATAGACAATAGATATTTATATATATATATTTATATATAATAGTTAAAAGATATTAACCTAAGGCCAAGTGACAAATTTGCAATTAATAAGGTTATCAGAATTCAGAAGATGGAGATCAGTATGGGATGATGTCCTCAAAAAATTCATGGAGGAAGTGGAATTTATACTTTGTATATACACAATATAATGAAGGGAATTTCAGGTCTAGAAAAATTCACAATCCAAACCATGGATATAAAGGAGATAGATTTGTAGATAAAAGCAGAGACTTTAGGTTGAAATGTAATTTGGGAGGACAATTCAAAACACAAATAAGTACCAGATCATTTGATAGCCTGAAATGTCAAAGTGGAAACTTTTGGATTTTATCTTGTAGTGAAGGGACAATGAAATTTAAGGGGAGTGGAATATCACAAAGAAAACTGTTTAGGGGAAATTGATCTAACAGTGATATAGAGGATAGAATTTGGGAAGAAAAGACTAAAGGGACAAATATGAATATTATATGTTTTCTTCTGAGAAACATACCACTGAATCATAATTGATAACACTAATACTCTGTTTCTTATAGGAAATAATTGATCTGTGGTAGGTTTTTTAAAAAGGTTAATCATATTAAAACCATATGATCATTTAAATTGATGCAGAAAAAGTACAACATCCATTCATGATAAAAATAAAAACTCAAAAAGGAGATTAGAAGGACCATACTTCAACATAATAAAGGTCATATATATGAAAAACCAGCAACAGCAGCTAGAGTTTTTCCTCTAAGATCAGGAACAGGACAAGGATATCCACTCTCACCACTTTTATTCAACACAGTACTGGAAGTCTAAGCCACAGCAATCAGAGAAAATAAATAAATAAATAAATAAATAAATAAATAAATAAATAAATAATAAAAGGCATTCAAATAAGCGAGGAAGAAGTCAAACTTCCACTATTTGAAGATAACATGATACTATACCTAGAAAATCCTAAAGACTCCAAAAAAAAAATCTACTAGAACTAATAAATGAATTCAGTAAAGTCTCAGGATACAAAATCAATGTACAGAAATCTGTTCTATTTCTATATACTAATAATTAAAGAGCAGAAAGAGAAGAAAACAGTCTCATTTACAATTGTACAAAAGCAATAAAATATCTAGAAAAAATAACTTAACCAAAGAGGTGAAAGTCCTGTTCTCTGAAAACCATAAAACACTGATAAAAGAAATTGAAGATGACACCAAAAATGGAAAGGCATGCCATGCTCAAAGAATGGAAGAACAAACACTGTTAAAATGTGTATACTACCCAAGGCAATCTACACATTTAATGCAGTCCTTATCAAAATACCAACAACATTTTTTTCACAAAGCTAGAACAAACAACCCTAAAATTCATATGGAACCAAAAAAGACCCCAAATAACCAAAGCAATCTTGAAAAAGAAAAGCAAAGCTGGAGGCATCACAATTCCAGGTTTCAAGTTATATTACAGAGCTGTAGTGATCAAAAAAGTATGGTACTGGTACAAAAATAGACTCATAGATCAACGTAACAGTACAGAGAACCCAGAAATGAACCCACAACTCTATCGTCAACTAATCCTCGACAAAGCAAGAAAGAATATCCAGTGGAAATAAGACAATCTCTTCAACAAATGATGTTGGGAGAACTAGATAGCAACATGCAAAACAATGAAACTGGACCACTTTCTTACACCATACACAAAAATAAACTGAAAATGGATTAAGAACCTAAATGTTAGACATGAGACCATAAAAATTCTAGAAAAGAGCACAGGCAGTAATTTCTGTGATATCAGCCTTAGCAACATTTTTGTATATATGTCTTCTGAAGCAAGGGAAACAAAAGCAAAAATAAACTGTTGGGACTACATGAAAATAAAAATCTTCTGCACAACAAAGGAATCAATCAACAAAACTACAAGACAAACTACTGAAGGAAGATATTTGCAAACAACATATCTGATAAAAGGTTAGTATCCAAAATATACAAAGAACTCATAGAACTCAACAGCAAAAATACCCCAAATAATCCAATTTAAAAAATGGCAGAAGGCATGAACAGACAGTTCTCCAAAGAAAACATACAGATGAATAGATTTTTTTCAAAAAACAGAAACAAAAACATTCAGATGGCCAAGAGACACATGAAAAGACTCTCAACATCACTCATTATTACAGAAATGCAAGTCAAAACTACAATGAGATATCACATCTGGTCTGAATGGCTGGTCTGAATAGCTAAACGCAACAATAGGAGAAAGAAGTGTTTGAGAGGATGTGGCGGAAAAGGAACCTTCTTGCATTCTCAGTGGGAATGCAAAAGGGTGCCACTACCATGGAAGATAGAATGGAGGTTCCTCTAAAAGTTAAAAATATAACTACCTTACGATCCAGTAATTGCAGTACTGGGTATTTACACAAAATAATACCAAAAAACTTGAAAGGAATAGATGCACATGCTTATTGGAGCATAATTTACAATAATCAAATTATGGAAGTAGCCCAAGTGTCCATTGCCAGATGAATGGATAATTAATATGTAGTATATATGTACCATTGAATATTATTCAGCCATAAAAAAGAATGACATCTTTCCACTTGCAACAACATGGATGGAGCTAGAGAGTATTATGCTAACTGAAATAAGTCAGAGAAAGACACATACCATATGACTTCAATCATATGTTGAATTTAAGAAACAAAACAAAGAAGCAAAAGGAAAGAGTGAGATCGAGAGAGAGAAACCTAAATTAAGACTCTTAAATATAGAGAATAAACTGACGATTACCAGAGGGCAGATGAGTGGGAGGATGGATGAAATATATAATGGGGATTAAAGAGTAAACTTCTCATGATGAGCACTGAGTAATGTATAGAATTGTTGAATCAATATATTGTACACCTGAGACTAATATAACACTGTATGTTAATTTTACTGGGATTAAAACAAAAAACTTAATAAAAAAAAGTTTAATCCTAAGTGACTGGCTTCCTGCTATTCAGCATATCTTTGAGATGCTTCTCCTAAGATTGGTTCTTAAGAGACACAAAAAAGAAAAAAAAAATTTAACCTTATGCAAAATATAAACAAAGTCAATCACTGCCTCAAATATTTAATATATTATAGCTAAATATATGTGATGCTAAGATTATCCACACTAGTTCTCCCCATAGTTAGCAAAGTAATAGTTGATCACCTTTTCATTATGCTAGGTTATTTTTACATAACATAAAATTTACCATTTAACCACTCTCAAACGTGAAATTTAGTGCCATTAAGTACATTCACATTGTTGTGAAAACATTACCAATCATTCATATCCAGATCTTTTTTTTTTTTGTCTCCTCAAACTGAAACTGTACTCATTAAACCAAAAAAAAACACCATTCCTCCCTCACCTCAGCCACTGGCCACCACCACTTTATTTTCTGTTTCTATGAATTTGACAACTCTAGGTACGTCATAAAAGTGGAATCATAAGTAGTTACCCTTTAGAGCATAATTCTTCAAAATTCATCCATGTTATTCCATTTGTCAGAATTTCCTTTCCTTTTAAAGCTTAACAATATTACATTATATGTACATACTGTGTTTTGTTTATTCTTTCATTCAGTGGTGAACAATTGGTTTGCTTCCACCTTTTGGTTACTGTGAATATTGCTGCTATGAATATATGTGTACAAATATCTGGTTGAAACTTTGTTTCAATACTTTTGGGTATATACTAAGAAGTGAAATTATTAAATGTTAATGGTACTTTTAAATTTTTGAGGAGCATACATACTGTTTCCCATAGCAGCTGCATGATTTTATATTCCCATCGAAGCGAAAGTGTTCCAATTTCTGCACATCATCACCAACACTTATTATTTTCTTTTTTGTTTTTTATTTTTAATAGTTATCCCAATGTATTTGAAGGGGTGTCTCTTTGTGGATGAAATTTGAGTTTCCCTAATGATTAGTCAAGTAATGGATTTATATAAAATCAATTAAATATTATGTAATTATATAAATTACATATATATTTATTATATAAATTACATATATATAAAATCAATTATATATTACATAATTATATAAATTATATATATAATCAATTAATATTAGAGATTTCATATGGATTGTCATTTGCAACAACATGGATGGAGTTAGAAAGTATTATGCTAAGTGAAATAAGTCAGTAAGAGAAAGACAAATATCATATGATTTCACTCATATGTTGAATTTAAGAAACAAAACAAAGAAGCAAAAGGAAAGTGATTTTATATGGATTTACAACGGATTATTTTACCACTGCAAAAAAATGTTGGCTTTATGTTAGAGATTGCACCGAATCTGTAGATCACTTGGGTGATATTGCCATCTTAACATTGAGTTTTCTAATC